AGCCAGCTGCCCTGAGATCATTGAAGAGCAAAAGCGTAAGCGGCTGATTGTTACCAACAATAGCCGACTTATCAGAAATAATCAGCTCCATTGACCCGAGAGAGTGGCCGAGGTGGACAGCAGCAGAGAGTAGTTGTCGGCGGACCTCATCCGCACTGCCTTGGGCCACCTGTGACAAGTCATCGACATAAGAACTGGTGGATACTCCAGGGTGGTACCGATGATGCACATCATGAAGGATCTGATACAGATAGACCTTCACCCAAGACATGGATTGCATACACCCTGGGAACACACCAATGCCAGAAACAATCACCTCAGAACAGAACCCATTGGACTCCAGCATTCGAGGGGCCACGTGGATCAGGAGCCCGAGGTAGAGCAGGTGGGGCGGGAAATCCAAACGACAGGCCAAAGAGACTAGCCGCGCTGGTACCACCGTGTCGAAAAACTTAGTGAGGTCCCAGTGCACGGCCGCACTCTTCTGCCTTCCGAACATAGCAACCTCATGGCAGATCTCCCTCCGAAGCGCCGCCTGCAACGCAGAGCTCCCTCTGACAGCATCATCCCAGAACTCCAAGTGGCCCTGGGACCAGTCCTCCAAGAAAACCCTTCGGATCTTGCAGTAAACCCGATAAAGGGTGGGGCACTTACCCACAGGGCGCTCATCGGTGGCGCTTTTCGGGAGGAGGGCGATGATTCCCACGAAAATCTGAGAGGGCCACATCATAGCCCGTTCACAAGAGGTGTAAAGCTCAGCAAGGGCTCCAAGGGCCTGGGGGTCCAACTGGAGGAAATCACGGGGCCTCCAGTGGTCCACACCGACAGCAGTGGTTTCAGAGAAAATACGGCTAGCAGCAAACACCTCCCTAGGCTCAATATCGGGGAGCTCAGGGGCCATCTCAAGGGCCCGCGCGCGAAGCTCATCCAACGCCTCCCCAAGCAACTCGATTTGGGATGGGCTGGCCGTCCAGAAAAGGCTCCACTTCTTAGTACGGTGTGCCATCATTTCCTTTGGCAGCTGCAACACGCCCTCGGGCGCGACGAAATACTCTAGCGGGTCACCTTGGTCTCGTTTCAGCCACGCATGGGCCTTCTTAGCCCCGTGCGGCAAAGCCTTCAGGAGCCAGTCCTTGACAGCCTTAGCCGCGGAGTTCCTGGCCGCCTGCCGAGCTTTAGTGAGAGTGCAAGAGCACCGATCGATCAACTCCTGACATCGAGCGGGATCAATGCTCGTTAAATCTAAAAGCTGAGCTCGCCACTCCGCAGCAGACTGATCAGCAGGTAAGCACGATGTATATCCATCAACACGCTGGCCAAGGGCATAGAGACGCGAGCCAATCCCATACACATATGATGGTACCCGTGCTGTACTGCCACACGTAATTCATACAGCTTCTGTGAAACCGTGGACCAAAACATAAGAACTGGCTCCGAGAAGCTGCCCGACGTGTTGCGATGATCAGTAAGTGTGGTACGCCGCATGCTCATGTGTGTGCCACGCCCAGTATAACATTCATACTCATGCTCATGCTCGATGTGCTCGTGCAACATACACATGTCTTCAGTAGCCCTGGACCATAGCTGATACGACGACGTCAGCTCACACGATAGGTGCTTGCAAACATGAGGGACGAGATGAGGGCACCGATGATGCTCCGAGCGCCACCGAGACAGAGCGGCGCCAAGATAATGAGTCCATGGCAAACGCGGGCCTTCAACATGAGGAAAACTGCGCGGTTTCACCCTCCTGCACAGCTGCTGCAGCAGAGCGGAGTGAGGCAAGCGAATGTCCAGAGCACAGTGCGTTTTGAAAGGGGACGCGTGATAATTGGTTACCTTCAGGAACGGCGCCAGAGTCTCACTGGCCACAACATAATCAATCAGCGTACCCTTTCCCAGACTGCACGTATAGCTCACACCCACCGGTGGTAGGGCTCTGCTCTGGGTCATCTTCAGGAACCCGCAAAGCTCCATCAGCTCAATGTCAAAATTGAAATCCCCAACTCGGAGACACGGCATTCTGAGAGAATTCACAGAGTTACTGATGTGCCTCATCTTACGTATATTCTCCCCCGAGACCCCCAAGTCAGCGACCATAGACGACGCCTACAGCTATGGTACACCTGAGAGTTTTCAACTCCAGAAACATCCAACCGTTTCCAGCTCCTACTTCACTGGTTGCACGATCATGCGCCAAGAAACGTTTAAATACAAACCTTTGCGCACAGCGGCCCCAACCCCCCCATGGGCCCCACCCCCAGGGGAAGGGGTGGCAGGGAGGAAATGGGGCCGCCAGTTCATGGCGGCCACATGCCGCTTAGCATCCTTCAGCTCAGAGGGGAGCTGGCGGTGTTCACAAAACAGGAAGGCGTCAGCCTTGCAATGTAAGCCAGCAAGAAAAGACTTAGCCAGCGCACTCCAACTGGTTATATTACAATAGAGAAGCCTCACTTGCCGCTCACAGTTAAAGCTCAGACTGTGGCATCTGCGTGACCGCAGCTTTGAACAGATCCTTGAACTGAGCTCCCACTGACTCCTGGGCACGTCGCATTCGCTTTGCAGCACGTGCATGAGACTTCTTGGACATGAGCTCCTCCATGCGATGCTGGTCCTGCTCACCGATGGCGCCCTCAAGGGAGCGCTTCTTGAGGGCGGCCAGCTCATCAGCAGCTTCAGCAGGAAGATCGCCAGCATCAGAGCCAGCATCAGACCCCGCCTCCGACGAAGGCACCTCGTAGATTTGCCGCTGCATCTCCACGAAGCGCTTGACGAAATCGAAGGGGAGCTGCCGACCAGAACAGAACTCACGCAATTGTTCATCGTCATAGCCAGCGAGATCAGGAAAGTCGTCATGCATACGAACGTCACCATCACCACGTACACCAGCAGGACGACCCCATGCGCCGCCCGCCGCAGCTGCGCCGCCACCGCCCCGCGCGGGGGCGCCGCCCGCAGGGGCAGCGCCAGGCGGGGGCTGCGGCTGGGCCGCCCTCGCGCCCGCGTCGCGAGCAGCGGCAGCAGCAGCGGCGAGCTCCTGCCGCTTGTTGGCGATCCAGTCGACCTCACGGAAGGCGGCCACGGCCTCGTCCGCAGCCTTCTTCTTCGCCTGCGCCTCCTGCTCCTCGACCTGGGCCGCACGCATGGCAGCTTGCGCCTCCTCCAATTGCTCCTGCAAACGTTGAACCTTAGAGCTGCGCTGATGCAGGTCCTGGGACGCAAAGCGAACAGCACGAGCTTGGTACTCCACTTCACGAGTGAGCCGTGTGCGCTCATTACATGCTCCATCATCGAGTTGAGCCTGGGACCACTCAACAACTTCTTGAGGTGGAGGCTGCACGAACTCGCCCAGCTGCCCTTGCAACTCAGGGCGAGCAGCCAAGAGCACCTGCGCTGCCGCACGGAGGTCGGCGCCATCATCACCTCCCTGTGCAGCCTGGACATGAGCTCCTCCACCCCCGCCAGGACGACCACCAGGGGCTCCAGTAGCGTCTCCGATGTAGAGGCCACCACACTTCGAGCAACACCAGTTGCCGTAGGCCCGATACTCCCAGTGCCGACAGGCGGAGCAGACATCATACTGCTTCTTCTTGCCACCGCCCCCCTTGGCGCCGCCGCGGCCGCGCCAGCCGCCGCCGCCGTTGCGCCATGGGGCGAGGTCGCGCCAGGCCATAGCAGCCCTGCGCAGGAATGGAAACCGAAAAGGAGACGGATAAGCACATGTTGCAAGGGTGCCGTGACTGCAAAACATGTGCCCTCTGGCCGCACTCGAGCGAGGTTGGGAAGTCCAGGAGCAGGCCCCTTGAGCAAAAATGGCTACGGTAAGGAGGAGGAGGAGGAGGAGGAGGAGGAGGAAGAGGAGGAGGAGGAGGTACGGAGGAGGAGGAGGAGGAGCAGCAGGAGGAGGTAAGGAGGAGGAGGAGGAGGAGCAGGAGGAGGAGGAGGAGGAAGAGGAGGAGGAGGAGGAGGCGGAGGAGAAGGAGGCGGAGGAGGCGGATGAAGATGATGATGATGATGATGATGATGATGATGATGATGATGATGATGATGATGATGATGATGATGATGATGATGATGATGATGATGATGTGAGGATGACGAAAAGGATGAGGATGAGGATGATGATGATGATGCCGCTGGATGATGATGATGATGTGTATGCTGATGATGATGATGTTGATTGATGATGAGATGATGATGATGCTGATGTATGATGATGATGATGCTGATTATGATGATGATGATGATGATGATGATGATGATGATGATGATGATGATGATGATGATGATGATGATGATGATGGATGATGATGGATGATGATGATGATGATGATGATGCTGATGATGATGATGATGATGATTGTTGATGATGATGATGATGATGATGTGCTGATGCTGATGCTGATGCTGTTGCTGATGCTGAATGATGATGATGATTGATGATGATGATGATGATGATGATTATGATGATGTTGATGATGATGTTGATGATGATGATGTTGATGATGATGAAGGATGAGGATGAGGATGAGGATGAGAGGAGGAGGAGGAGGAGGGGGAGGAAGGAGGAGGAAGGAGGTGGAGCAGGCGGAGCAGGAGGGAGCAGGAGGTTAGCAGGAAGCAGGAGCTCGGAGCAGGAGCATGGAGCAGGGCAGGAGGAGGACGGAGGGAGGAGGAGCAGGAGGAGGAGGAGGAGGGGTGAGGAGGAGGAGGAGGAGGAGGAGAAGGAGGAGGAGGAGGAAGGGAGAGGAGGAGGTAAGGAGGAGGAGGAGGCGGAGCAGCAGAGAGAGGTAGGAGGAGGAGGAGGAGGTAGGAGGGAGGAGGAGGAGGAGGAGGAGGTGGAGAAGTGGAGGAGGAGGAGGAGGGAGGAGGAGGAGGAGTGGAGGTATGGAGGTGGAGGAAGGAGGAGGAGGAGGAGGAGGAGGAGGAGCTGCAGGAGGAGGTAAGGAGGAGGAGGAGGAGGAGGAGGAGGAGGAGGTGGATCCGCGCGGCCGTCTCTCGCTCAGACGGCAGCCCACAGCCCGCTACCTCGCAGCGAGGCAGGGCGCCGCGCGCCACTCGCCCACCGCCAGCGAGCCGCTCTGAGCCATGCCGCTGAAGGCCAGCAAGCGCGCCGCAGCGCCGGCCACTGCCGGCAAGCCGCGCAAGGCGGGCCATTTGCCTCTTCCATCGCGTTCTCCCTCCGGTTCCTCCTCCATCCCCTCCTTCTCCATCTCCTTCTCCTTCTTCTTCTCCTCCTCCTTCTCCTTCTCCTTCTTCTTCTCCTCCTCCTTCTTCTTCTCCTTCTCCTGCTCCTCCTCCTTCTCCTTCTCCTCCTCCTCCTCCTCCTCCTCCTCCCTCGCCACTCGTCCCTCCTCCTCCTGCTCCTCCTCTTCATTTTTGTCCATCCCCCCTCCTCCTCTTCCGTAGCGGTTTTGTCTCAAGATAATTTCGCTCGGTGGCAGCGGACGGAGAGCTCAGGACAGTGCTTTGCCTCGCCGTGCCCACCGTGCTGGCCTCCACAACCTTACATATCAGTCAAGCGCGCATTCTTGCTCTCGTGGCTGGCGCGGGCCACTTCTCGCAGGCATGCCCAATTACGAAGACAGCGCCAAGCGTGCAGCGGCAAGAGGAGCGGCAAAAGGAGAGGAACCATGGGCAAACTCCGCAGCCAAGCTGGGAGCCGAAGCCCTGCCTGCACATGGTCGGAAACAGCTCGATCGAAGAAGCCCGTGCAGCACAAGTTCGTGAAGCCGCCAACCCATTGGAAGCCTTCGCCCAGAGCGTCACCGAGACAACCAGGGCCAACTTCCTCGACAATGTCGTGGATATCGCCAATGACATGTCCGCAAAGAACGAGCGCACCGAGCGCGAGGTAGCCTGTGTCAAACAGCGGGTTGACCTCGCCGAGCGTGCCAGCGCCGCGCTCCAAGAGGCCGTCTCCAAGCTTCAGGCCGCGGTCGACTCCGCCGAGGCCAGGGCGCCATCGCTCACCTCACCTTTCTCGGCAACTGGGATCGCGATCCATATCCAATCACGTTCTGGTTTGGCTAGGCTACTACCTCCACCGCGGTTGCTCTTCATCCAGCATTGTCCGACTGTTTCCGTGCACGCGGCGTGGAGCTCAACCGCGTGGCGTTCAACACCGTCGGGACCGCCAAGCGCCACTCGTTCACTGTGGTTGGGGGTGCTGTCGTGGCCGAGCCTCGTGCGCGTAAACTGCATGACGCTCTTCTTACAGGCCGACATTGGCGCGACTTCAACCTTGGCGCTGCTGCTCCTGTGCCTTTGTTCGTCTGCGGCGACACAAGCCCCAATATGCTCAGCCGCGAGGTCCTGGTCAAGAAGCTGTCCAAGCTCATATACGCCAAGGTCCCCAACCACGACCTTCGCCTTCACAGGTCGCCCAGGTACATGCCTAACGAGGGCGGTCCGCTCGTACACATCGCGGCGGGCGTTCGTGCTGACGCTCCTGCTCGTATTCGTCGGGCTGCTGCTGCCGTTCCGCCTGGTTACATCGAAGTTGTCCAGACCGCCATCAATGCCGAATTCGAAATCTGCTTCTCATACCCACAACTAGCAGCGCAGTGGCTTTAGCATTCGGTGGTCGCCATGATTCGCAGTACCTGTGCAGGAAGTGATGAACATCGCTTTCTGGGCTAATCGGGCGCTGCTGTGTCGCTCTGACTGTCGGCGCCAAGACACATGCAAGCATCTACTTACTCTCTTTCGTCAGCGCGCGGTCCTAGCCTTGCAGGAGTCGCGCGGCACCATCGACAATCTCACCCTCCGCGCGATCTCCACCGAGCACGCATGCGTGCCCTGCCACTCCCAGGTGAAGACCCTGGAGGGAGGCGAGCCATACTCCGCCGCGGCTGGCGGGATGCGATTCCTCGTTCCGATTGATGAGGCCGAGCTCAGCCGCACACCCGAAGAGCGACCACTTCGACACTTTGAAGTCATCTTTATGGGGCGAGTGGCTCGGCTCAGAATTTCTGTTTGAACGCCCACAATCACGACCTCACGCCTGACGACCGCGCTGAGCTTCAGCAATGGCGTGTCCTTCGCGCTCATGCAGACGAGCGCTCGCAGGAACGCCTGCTGGCCATGCTGGGCGACTTCAACATCTCAGAGCCCTCGCCGAAGAGCGTCAAATCGCCCGCCGACGCCAACTCCAAATCCGCGTGGCGCCACTACTGCCAGCCTGTCTCTGGCGCTTGCTGTTCCAAGAGAAGGTCGCCCAAGAGATGGTCGAGACCACCGCCTCGGCCGAGGCCCGCCGATGCGCCGCCGACGTGACCGAGTCCACCCTGGACAGATGCTTCGTCTTGCTCCCTGGACAGATGCTTCGTCTTGCTCCGTCGTCCGCTCATGGAGGTCGCCCTCGTAGCCAGCGGCGCTCCGCGGAAGTGCCCGAGCAGGACGGACAGCGATCGCAATATCGTGCGCGTGCGCATTCGTCCTCGCCAGCCCCGTCCCCAGAGCGAGCGTGGCATGCCAGCCTTCGTCTTCGACTCTCCTCACTACCAGTGCCGCGCGCGGGCCCTGCTCGATGCCGTCGACGCGTCGCTCGCGAACCCGGCGGCCAAGTGGATGGTGCCGACGGCCGCCGTGCCGGAGGCGGCCGCGCGGGCGTGGGGCGCTATGGTGAAGATCCCGGCGGGGCCGCGCGCGCGGACCTGTCTGCCGGCGCCTCGGGAGGTCCGCGCCGCGTCGCCGCGCGGCATCGCTCGGGCGGCCTGGTGTCAGGGCGCCGCGCTGGCCACCGCGCTGATCGCTAGCTCGTCGAGTGTCTCGCCCGGCCTGCTGGCCACGGCCGCTGCGAGAAGGAAGTCGGCCAGAAACGGCTCCGTGACATTCTGGAACAGCCTCCCCGGAACGTTCCGCGCGAAGATTTGCGCGCCCGACCGCCAGGTGGCGTTCGTCAGCGCCGGTGCGGCGCGTTCCAGCCGGGGGCGGGCGTGACCTGAGCGCAAGGGGGGCCGAGGCCGCAGGGCGGTCGCGAGCCGCTCGCGCGTGGAGTGACGTTCAGTCTGGTTTCAGCCTGCTGGCCGCCGGCGCCAGCGTTCGCGGCGTGAGGGCCGCAGGGCCGAGCTCTGAAAACCGTCGTTCTCCAATCGCCTTGTCCTGGCGGGCGTCGAGGTGCTGGCGGGCGCGACGCGCGCTATCGCCAGCGACTCCGTCGCGACGCGCGCGCGTCGCCATCGTGGGCCGCTGGGGGCCCGCGCTCGACCTACCTGCGCCTGGCGCGGCCAGCCTGGGGCGCGCGGCGAAGCGCGCTGACGGCCGCGCCCCGGGCCTGGATGGACTTCCGTGCCGTGCCCACCTGCGCGCTCCGACTAGCTTCGAGGTGCTCGCTGCGCTATGCGAAGATATAGCACGCGCATCACTGCTTCCACGCGACCTTAATTTCTGAAAGAGCGTGTTCTACCGCTGCTGGCGGAAAACCGGGGGGAGCACTGTGGGTTCCTCACCCGCCCCCCCCTCCCCTCGAGAACTAGGGGGGGGTCGCTGCCGGTTCGACCCCCCCCTTGTCCATCATGAAAGGGGGGGTCGTTGCCGGTTCGAACCCCCCCCCCCCCTTCGAAAGCAGAAGGGGGGTCATTGATGGTTCGAATCCCCCCTTCGAACACGGGGGGGGTCACCGCCACTTCGAGGCCCCCCCCCTCCCCCTCTCCCTCGCCGCCGGCAAGCGATGCCCGCTCCTCAGGACAGCTGGAGAATGGTGGGGATGTTGGGGCAGTGGTGGGAACGGTGGTGGTGTGGGCAGCGGTGCGGGGACAGTGGGATAGTGGTGCGGACAGTGGTGGGGGCGGTGGTGGTGGGGGCAGTGGCGAGGGGACAGCGGGACAGTGGTGGGGACAGTGGGACAGTGGTAGGGGCGGTCGTGGTGGGGACAGTGGTGAAGGCGGTGGTGCGGACAGTGGTGGGGCAGTCGTACAGTGGGGAAAGTGGTGGGGACAGTGGGGACAGTGGGGCAGTGATGGGGACAGCGGGGACGGTGGGACAGCACAGTGGGACAGCGGTGGGATAATGGGACAGTGGTGGGAACAGTGGGGACAGTGGGACAGTGGTGAGGACCGTGGGGAAAGTGGGGGGAGTGGGATTGTGGTGGGACAATGAAATGGCGGGGAGAGTGGGGACAGTGAGACACTGGTGGGGGCACTGGTGGGGGCAGCGGGGACAATGGTGGGAACGGTGGGGACAGTGGGACAGTGGTGGGAACGGTGGTGGTGGGGGCATTGGTGTGGGGACAGTGGGAATGTGGTGGAAACAGTGGGACAGTGAAGGGCACAGTGGCGGGGGCGACAGTGGTGAGGGCGGTGGCGAGGACGGCGGTGGGATAATGGGACAGAGGTTCAGTAGGGACACTGGTGAGGACAGTGGGGGCAGTGGGAACAGTGGGGACAGTGGGACAGTGGTGGGGGCGGTGGTGGTGGGGACAGTGGTGTGGGGACAGTGGGAATGTGGTGGACACGGTGGGGCAGTGGAGGGTGTAGTGGTGGTGGCGACAGTGGTGGGGGCGGTGGCGAGGACGGCGGTGGGATAATGGGACAGAGGTACAGTAGGGACAGTGGTGGGGACAGCGGGAACAGTGGTGGGAACAGTGGGACAGCTCAGTGGGACAACGGCGGGGACGGTGGGACAGTGGGACAGTGGGGACAGTGGGACGGTGGTTGGGGCCGTGGAGAAAGTGGGGGGAGTGGAGCCGTGGCGGGAAGAGTGGTGGAGACAGTGAGGACAGTGCGACAGTGGTGGGGGCACTGGTGAGGACAGCGGTGACGGTGGTGGGAATGGCGGGGACAGTGGTGGTGAGGACAGTTGTGCTGGGGACAGCAGCGGGGCATGTGGTGCGGATGGTGGTAGGAGCCCAGAGTTGTTTGCTGGCGGTGAGCGCGGGGCGGGGGAGGGGCATCGAACTGGCAGTGACCCCCCCCCCGGTTTTCGAGGGGCGTGGGGGGGGTCGAACTGATAGTGACCTCCCCCGATTTTCGAGTGGGGGGGTTCGAACCCGTAGTGGCCCTCCCCCGGTTTTCGACGGGGGGGGGTCGAGCCGGCAGTGGCCCCCTCGGTTTTCCAGAGGGGGGGGGTTCGAAGCGGCAGTGGGCCCTCTCTGGTTGTCTGGGGGGGGCGGGGGGGGTTCGAACCGGTAGTGGCCCCCGCGCGGT